TCAGCCCTTACCAGCGGACTGTCTGACTTTAATCAGAGAATTAAAGGGCACAGAAGTGGAAACACTCTTATGTCAATATTCTTCCCCATCTTTCTGCATGATCCTTTGGGCTATCCAAAGACCCTTGACTTACCCTTCTTTTCTCCAAATTGTGCCCAAGGAGCAAGCTATTAAGGCAACACAGACGAGGAAAAATAAGCCCTTTCTCTTTCTTCTGCTGTGTGTTCTTGGAGACACTCCTTAATCTCCTTTACTTCACTTTCCTCATTTGTAAAGTGGAAATAGAACTAGTATCTTCTTCATAGGGTTGTTGTGTTACAACCTATAGCGCACTTAAAACAGGGCTTGAGGTTGGCACATTGTCTTGGTCCATATGGGCTGCTATAACAGAATACTGTAGACTGCATATTTGTTTCTCACAGTTCTGGAGGCTGAAAGTCTGAGATCAGGGTGCCAGCATGGAGTGATTTTGGAAAGGGCTCTTTTCTGGGTTGCAGACTGTCAACCTCTCACTGTATCCTTACATGGAGGAAAGAGGGCAGAGAGCTCTCAAAGGTCCCTTTTGGAGGGCACTAAACTCATTCATGAAGGCTCCACCTCATGACCTAATTACTTCCCAAAGGCCCCACCTCCTAGTATCATCACTTTGGGAGTTAGGATTTTGACACATGAATTTGGAGGGGAGGACACAAATACACAGTCCATTACACCCATGGCAAGCACCCAATGAATTCTTACTCTTATTGTTCAACAATATAGAAAGCAGCATGCTGGACACCATGAGGTGACACGGGTGAGTGTGTCACCATCATAATTTCTGCCTTCATCACTAAATGAAGACATACCAGTCACCCAAATGCAAGGAAGCATATGATATGTTTTTTGTCAGACAAACAGACAAAAATCTGATTGTGGCAATTCTTTGCTTAACTTCTTGATGGACCCTGGCTGCCTCTGCTCAGAGTCTTGGATTACAGATCTGGCTGTCTCAGCTCATTGGATTTGTACTTCAGCTTTACATTTATTTCCCAGGAAGAATTATTCCTTTTTCCAAGGAAGCTTCTTGGTCTTGCCTTGGCAAGTTCACATCCTCACTATGTGTTAGCTGGGCCTGCATTAGTCCATTTCTATTGCTTATAACATAAATGCCCGAAACTGGGTAATTTGTAAAGAAACAATATTTATTGCTTACACTTTTGTAGGCTGGAAAGTCCACAGTCCAGGGAACACATCAGGTGAGGTGACTTTACAGCAATGCTTAGTGTCACATTGCAAGAATGGCAGAGCAGAGAGAGAGTTTCTCATGTGCTCTCCTTTTAAAGCCATCAGAACCACGTTCACAACCACCATTAAACCATCAAATGTATTAATCCGTTCACTATGGCATGGTCCTCACACTCTGATCACCTCTTGAAGGCCCCACCTTTCAATTATCACTGTAGAATTTCCCACCCTCGACTATTACAGTGGGGATGATGCTTCAGTGAGTTTGGGAGGACATTCAATCCCCAGCAGGCCCTGCTGTTGCTTCCTGTTTTCCAACTTGGCTCCAGCCTGAGGCTCTGGCTCTAATCTCCAAGTCAATGCTAGTTCTTGAATTATGTGGCCCCATTTTATCTTCCAAAGCCCAGTCTTGAACTCTACCTGCTGCTTAGTGTCATAGTCAAAGCTATGTTACTCATGAAATTGTACAAATGTTTTAATCAAGATGAAACTACTCTTGGCCATTTCTGATATAACTTAAAAATATATAGACTAGAAACAACAGAACAATTCATTCTATAAGGTAACACAGTGTGAATCAAAATCCTAACAATAACAGAAATATTTATCTTAATATGTGGAGTCTCATCTTTTTATGGTTCTAGAATTATATTTTTCCCTGTAAGCCCTAGTGCTCTAGAGATTCATTAATGGTAATTAATGCTTCATATCTATAATTGGTGTGCTTCATATCTAGCAGAACTCTGACACCAGTTTATTTACAAAATCTCTAATTAGTTAATGTAACAGTTCATTCATGAGACTGATTTAATTTGTGTCATCGTATGAAATTTCGCATAGCGCACTAAAAATTTTCAAAAATCTGTAGTAACTACTGCTTAATTTTGTGCTCCATTAAACAATAATGTGACTACAGAAATGTGTTAAACTTAGAATATTTAATAGTTTCTCTTTAAGGCGGCAAATACTATTATGACTCCCATTTTTTCTTTCTCAGACATTTATCACACACATAGCAAAAATGATAAAATGTTTGCATTTGCATAAGGATATTTTTAAATAACAGAAAGAATGACTGCTGGAAGATGAGAGAGTGCTTTCACAAACAGTTAGCTACATGATCCAAAACTCAACGTAAAACCTACGCCCTTCAAATTTATTTAAAGCTATTATATTTCACAAAAAATTACCAGAATGTTAGTCCCCCTGACTATTTAATATTCTTCTTTAAATACTACCCCTTAAGAAATAAATTACCATGTATAACTAAACTTTGTCTTAGTGTGTGTGAATTTTTTTTTTTTTCCTTTTTAAGCTCATGTAAAGTCAAGACTTATAGTAAATGAAATGAATAGTATTATCTTCTGATTGGGTTAATTCATTTAGTCATTACTTCAGCGGTCATTAATTGAACAAATATTCTGTGTTAATGTTGGGTTAGGTAATAACAAAGATCAGTAAGTCAAGATCCCAGTGATCCAGGATTTGATCCAGGATCTGACAATTCTCATGGGGCAAACAATATGTTTAAGGAACTACTATAAGCAGCAGCAATATTATTAGTGACAATAGACTTCTAAATAAATATTTATTAAACACTTTAGCAATCAAGAATTGTTTGTAGTATATACAGGTTTTCTAGGTACTTATGCAAAGACAAATATGAATATATGTCATATCTACATTAGTCACGTTCAAAGGAAGAAATCCTACAAAACTGTTATCATTATAAGGACAATAATGTAATTGTTAGAAGTACTTTCTATTTAATTATTTTGTATTATAATTTATCTAGGGCACATTGTATGATTGCATTATCATTATTATAAATTTTAATTGGAAAAAAAGAGCTATGCTGTTAATTAAAATTACATGTACATGTAGCCTTGGTTTTCAAAACAAGCTCATACGAAGCTTTATAGGATAATTTTAGGTACAGATTTTATATGTAAAAATAATAGGACTGGAAATAATTGCTCTGACAGTAAAGGACTTACAGTATCCAAAATGCAGTGGAGGTGGAGGGGGGGAGTTGCGTAAACATTCAGACAAATTTACAGTTTTTAGTATCCCATTTTTTCTTTAGCAAAGGAGAATAGAGAAAAGAATAATAACTAGTGATCTCTGGAATGTGCTATCATTTGATACTGTTTCAGAACTTAATTAACAAAAAGGCAAACAAGAGAACAAAAGCTATCTTAGAACCATTTTATCTCACATTTTTAATGTTCATATACCAAGCTTGATGCTTTTCCAAGTGAGTCATGCCTTCTAAGCTTCTGGAAAGACTGGCAATGCAATTATTGGAAAGGCTGCACTGTGTAATGGTTGAGAGCACGGGCTGTGGAGTGGAAGGCCCACTTGTGCCACTTAAGGCTGTATAGTCTTGGACAAGTTACTTAACTTCTCTGGGCCTCCATTTTCTCATATGTTACCTGAGCTAATGGTAAAACACATCTCAGAGAATAACTGTGAGGATTTATGAGTTAATATAATTCTTAGTGTACTGTGCACCACATTGTAAGCACTATGTTAGCTATGAGAAGGTGAAACCCAAAGCTGAAGTTTCCTTTTTTTTTTTCCTTTTTGTCTTTTTTTGTGACTGGCAACGGGATCGCAACCCTCGGTGTCACGCCCACACTGCGCTCAACCAGTGAGCGGACCGGTCTCTATATGGGATCTGAACCCTCAGCAGGAGCGCTGCTGCACTCCCAAGCGCCGCACTCTACCGAGTGCGCCACCGGGCTGGCCCTGAAGTTTCCTTTTAAAATCAAGTCAGATCACAGTAAAGGAAGAAATGGCTGATAAATATATGAGAAAATGGTCCACCTCACTAATAATCAAGAAATTCATATTAACATGAGATAGTTTTTTATTACAATTAGATGGGTGTTTTTTGATAATAACTATTGATATTATACTATTGATAATAACTATTATTGCAATGATTTGGGCCTGTGGTGCCTTCATAATGTTGGGGGTACAACCATTTTTGAAGGCAGTTTGCCCTGTCTTCTCAACAAAAATTTCAATGTGGGTACTCTTTGACCCAGAAATTTTACTTGTAAGAGTTTCTCTTCTAGAAATACCCTCGAATATACAAATATATGTGTGTGCACACATGCCCATATACACTTGCATATCTCTATTCATTGCTGTGTTATTTTAAATAGGAAAAAATACTTCTGATATGAAACAGTGAACATGATGTAATGTAAAATGAAAAGTGCAGTTAGCTTAATTTATATAGTGTATGATCCCACATTTGTGAGAAAAGTGTCTATTTCTGTGTGTGTATTTGCAAGGGGAGAATGTATATGCTTAAAGATGCGCACAACAAAATTGAAAGGATACACAGAGAGATACAGGCTGTAAACTCAACAGCCATGATGTGTGTCATTTCTTTTTGTTCAGAAAATGTTCCTGAACTGTGCCATACATTTTATCAGACCTCAATTAATATTTGGAGAATTGAAATGAAGACTTTCGTAGAAATCATTTTCTGTAAAAGATATTGCTGAATATATTTATGGCATACAGAACATTCTGACCTCAGGATCCACTGATTTTAAAAAAAATAGGAAAGATGGAAATGTTCAGATTAATAAAGATTTGGCTATTATGAAAACTGTTATGTCTCATGAGGTTTTAAAACATTTTATGTTTTGATGATTTGAAAATAATCTAAGAAAAAAGTTCTATGTGAACACTAGTGCAAACCTATTGACATCTAATTTTTCTTCTTTTTAATGTGATTATCTTGTTTGTCTTCATAGAGTTACTGGAGGTGAACTGTTTGAAGACATAGTGGCAAGAGAATATTACAGCGAAGCCGATGCCAGGTAAGTGACTTGCCCTGGGCAAGATACAAGACTAAACATACAAATGACACCTTTTCAATATATTTCTTTGCAAATGCATCATGACACTTAGTATTTATGAGAATCTCATAATACCATCTTGAATGACTTCTCATGATGAGTCCTTCTTAATTGACATTTCTCTCTTTTAAGGATCTCTAGGAAGATTCTTAAAAAAAAATTTACAAATCTCATCTAAACTTTATGTACATCTATCATCTATAGTTAGAATGCCTATTTTATTTTAAAAGAAAAAGAAAAGAAAAGAAAAACAAGCAACCTACCCCACCCCCACCCACCTGCCTAATTGGAATGATATCTGCTAAAGAAATATACATTTTTTTTACCAAAGATCAGAGATCAAAGTTTGAAATCTTCTAGTCTCTAGATAGATACTGGGCTGCCCGGAGGTAGCCTCTAACCAAATGTGGCTATTTCAGTTTCAATTTAAATTAATAAAAATTAAGTAAAATTAAAAATTCAGTTTTCATTTGGGCTAGCCAAATTCCAAGTGCTTACAGCCAGAAGTGGCTAGTGGGTACCAATAGGACCAAGCAGATGGAGAGCATTTCCATTATCACAGAAAGTTCCACTGAACAGCACACGTCTAGACAAAAAATGGAAACAGACTTTTAAAAAGCCTCAGTGGTCTCCTTAAAGCCTTATTCCTAGCTATTTAACTCTTCGAAAATTTCATTAAAACCCTTGGAACTCTGACCTGAACAATATTTATTTAGGTATTTCAGAGGGTTCAAAAGGAATTTCCCAAACTTGTTAACTGGCAAAATCTTTACAGAAGTTTTAAAAAGACTATGATTTTGACTAATTTGAAACTTCCTAGGCTACCGAGAAGCAACATTTTTGGAATGAAGTAACATTAATGCACTCGCTTGGACATTACTTAGACTGTATGGTGTTAATTTTCCCTGGTATTCCATATATATATATTCTGTAGTTGTCACTTATACAGTTACTCCACAAAGGTCATGGAAGGATTCGTATTATCTTTCATTTCTATTTTTCCATGCTAGGACTGGCCGGTTAGCTCAGTTGGTAAGAGCACGGTGTTACAACATCAAGGTCAACTGTTCAGATCCCCATATCTTCCAGCTGCCAAAAAAAAAAAAAAAGTCTTACTCCATTTTTCCACATGCCCAAGTGCAGTTATTATTATCAGCAATGTAAATGACATGCTATAAAAATTCAGTTATTGACTGTCACCATTCTGCAATGCTTTCAGAGCTTCCTGGGGCTTGCTTATCCCACGGTAGCCTGACTCCCCACAGATTCAGCTGATATTGTGATTTCTCATCCCTCCAAAGTAGCACATGCATACACAGGCACACTTCTAAATTTTTAATTTATCTTCTTGGTTTTTTTGCTCCTTCTTATGGCATTCCATGAATCTATCTGTACATGACTATACTGTAATTTTTTAATGGGATTTTTACTGCCAAAGTCAAATAGAAAGTTCTGTATCATTTATATTACCATGAGTGAATTGTCGCTTGCTGTTTATCCCAAATCCTCATATTAGGCCCTGGAAAAGTCGCCTCAAAGCAGCCCTTGAAGGAGCTATTTACCCATTTGCTGGGAGAGAGCAATAATTTTAATCAAGGTAGTACGCAGGTTAGGGAATTTTTTTTATTTTGCCTTTCAAAGTTATGTTAAATAGGCTGTAATTATGCTTGAAAAACATTGGTTGAAATTAAAATGGAGACTGTTTTCACTGCTGAAGAGCCCTGTAGGCAATAGGACAGGATCCTATGGGTTGTATCATTTAATATGCACGCTTATTTAAAGTTTTGTAATTAACAATAGGATTTTTTAAAGATAGATCCCATACAAAATCGAGAAGAAACATTCTCTTCCCAACTACAAGCATAAAGAGGATATTGCTCAAAAAATTTGTAAAAGTCTGTTCTCTTACTAGTACTCAAAAATTTAAGAATTGAATCCATTCTCATTAGTAAGAAATGGTAAACTTCATTTCATATGAATTATTGTTTACTTCTTTATTTTCTGTTATTCCCTAGGCCCAATAACTAATGCTTGTGGTTTAAGAAGAGAAAGAGGAATATTCCTAAAAAGTAGAACAAAGTGAGCATTATTGTAGAAGGAAAATGGCTCATGGTTTAAAAACAATGACCAATACCGAAATAAGCTATGTAGTCAACAGCAACCAACGTGAGACTCTTTTAGTGGTACTGTTAATAGAATTCGAGCTAGAAAATCACAATCATGATCAGTTTTTTGATATTTATATTGTAATAAATCAGATGGTGATTACTTTTTGTAATTCAAGAATTTCCTTTAGAGTAATAGTATTTTATACATTAATGGTTTAAAATGTCCTTATTAAAATGTTTTCTTCATCCTTAAATGAATAAATGTAGTTCTGTACATACTTGCATTTGAATTGCAGTGAATTTGTATAAAATTCATCAGTGTGATATGGTCTACATTATTGTATGTCAGATGACAACTCATGGGACCTTATAAATACCAATTGATGATTTCTCCTCTGTAATTTAATTAGCAGTCTATTCAACATCAGTGAGCCTTTAAGAATAGCATAAATTAGGCATTTTGACATAGTACTAAGCAAAAGTTTTCCTTCACTGAAGTATATGGAAGTGGGTTTAACAATTAATTACCGGTGCTTCAGGGGATTTTTAAATTTAATTTAATTTTGTTTTGCTTTATTTTGTAAGATCCGTAGCCCTTCCCCAGAGTATTCTTATACTAAAAAGGGGTTTATTTTATGTTACAGGTTTACTTTAAATTCTTCCTCTGTAATTTGAGACTTGCATTAGTTTTCCTATTAATATATTATACTAGCAGCACCACTTCTAAGTCAAAATGGTAAATGTGTCCCTCCATTTTTTTTAACCCTTGTTTCACCTGCCACTTCATCTGTGTTTACCCTCTTGTTTCAACACCTATGTTTAGTTGTGACCTCAGATTTTAAACAGTTTAGATGTGTATGAGTAATACCTGGAAATTTTATATTTCTTAAGAATTTTCCCAGAATTATTACAAATTATTATTTTATAAATTTTTCTTCCTGAATATGGAAATTTTAACTTCTGTATACAGATGATTTAATTTGTAGACTTACAATGAAAAAAAAAAAAACACAGCTCAAATTGTTTTGTCTGAAATTGTCACAAATTCTTTGTTGGATGTCATTTTTGTTAGAACCAGAATTAGCTTTATTCACATTACTTAATTCCAGTGTAAAGCTAAAAAAGTGTGAAGAAATATAATTTTTGTTTGTTTGTTTGTTTTGTTTGAACTTTCATTTTATTTTGTATTCAATGTGATTATGTGCCTTTAAAATGTTCTCCCTTCCATTCTGCCCTTGTATCTTTGCAGTCATTGTATACAGCAGATTCTAGAAAGTGTAAATCATTGTCACCTAAATGGCATAGTTCACAGGGACCTGAAGGTCAGTATATGGAGTCCATAAATCTGAATCAAAGGAGTTTTTTTTTAGTTTGTTTTTTTTCTGGGGAAAGGGCAGAGGGTGGGTATTTAAAATGGTTACCTTGCCTTTCCAAACTTTTTCCTGAAATGAGTAGATGATGAAATGATAATGCATGATGCCTCTTTCAGTTTGCTCATCTACAGGCTAAATATACATCATAGCAAAAAGGGAAGTACAATATCAAAATTACAACCTGTTAAGTTTCCAAGAAGTAAACTACCAGAGGCAGTTTGGGGGCAGGTTTTCCTGAATTGTCCAGCATTTGCCTGGAGATAAACTTGGCCTGTGATGTATGTCCGCCTGTAGATTTAAACACCACTTCTGTTCTGAGACCATGGGTTGCTGTAGCAGAACAACTGGTTACACATTGCTCCATTTGAGTCTGATGAACCCTTAGGCAAGAGAAAATAATTGCCAGCTAAATTAAAGCACAAGAAGTTAATGATTTATCACAGATTCATTATGTATCTTAATTTAACCTTAAAGGTGCCTTGACCGCAAATGTGACAGCTTTTAGAATGAAACTGGAAAAATGGGAGAGAATCGGGAAACTGTTTTTGTGCATGGGGTGGAAGTGGAGCACAACAGCTATAGATTATATTTGTGTTCCAATTCATTTCCTGGAAGAATTTATAACCAGGAAATGAGCTCCTGAATGAAATAAAGTATTTTCAAGATGGATTTTGCTAGAACAAGTGGATCCACATTCTGGCTCACATCTGGCAAGATCCTGATTGTTCTGAGGTAGTAATCACTCTACTTGAGCAATATGTTTACGTTACTGAAAGTGGTAAAATACAGCCCCAGTTGTCTGCTGGTTCTGCACTTTAACCCAGTCTCGCTGAGGGTATACAGACAGTGAGTGTAAGCTTGGAACTAACACACGCCCCCTGGTGTTTGCATGCAGTCATTGCATTCAGCAGATCCTGGAGGCTGTGCTACACTGCCATCAGATGGGCGTAGTCCATCGGGACCTGAAGGTGAGTAATGCCCTGGGAGAAGATAAACCACCATACAGTCCTAATGACTGTTCAGCTGCAATTATGCCTGTAAAGGCAAAAATATGAGCAATAAAGTTGTGTGGACTCATTCCATTACAAAAGCACTTTCCCTCACAAGTCTCTCTTATTTCATCTCTAATACACACTTAAAACTTAAAGAAACCCCAATTTATCCAGAAAGAAAGAATTTCATAACATTACATAAATAGGTTGCTATATTTCTTTCCTTTTAAAGATGGATATAGCGTTTAATGTGACTTTCAGTAGGACTGATGATCTCTTCTTCATTCTAAACTTGTTCTGTGAACATTGATTGAACATATTATTTTATATTCATACTATATACACCTAATGTTATGTAAATACTTATCAAAATTATGAAATGAATAGAGATAAAGTTAAGTAGATTTTTAGCCCAAGTGATTGGGTGCTAAAGAACCCCATTTTGTACTCTTGACATTCTCGTTCCCTTAATATTAGTCCTAGAAATTCTGAGGACACTGAGGCTTCCTGGTTTATATTCCTAGGGACAAGATAGTACTGCCTTTTAAAAATACAGATGGAGAAATAGTAAAATAAATTTTATCATCAAATAATATTTTTGTGATGTACATATTTACATCCCTATATTTATAATCTCATACAAATATTAATACTTTTAAGACTTCACTCAGTTTCTGTTATACTGAAGAAAAGAAAGTTTTTGATCATTTAGAAAGGAACTAGTTCACAAGGTGACTACTCTTTCATTAATTTTCTGTCCCCATCTCTCAGCATTCTAGTTTTATTTGTGGAACTTCAAAGAAATAGTGAAGGCCTAGAAACGTAAATGAATGAAAACTCCTGGGTGGGGGAGATAGCAAATGTGAGTACTGTACAGTTTTGATCCTTGTTTGCAGTCTCAGCATTTTCAGGCATTAGTACAAAGGTGGCAAAGGGTAATTTAGAGTGTCTAAAACTGTATATGTTCAGTGGAAGGGCCTAGACTGTTTTCCCACGTGCAGACTTCTGTAGTTATAATAAAGTATAAATCTATAGTTTCCATTTATTTAATATTTTAGAAGAATAGATCTCTAAATATCTTTAATTACACAAAGATGTGATTTTTAAGCAAAACGTCACCCTAATTTTCTACAATATTCCTTTTAATTTCAGTTGATTCTGAGATCTTCAAATATCAAAAGCCAAGGTATGATTCAGGACATTTTCTTTTGGAGAGTCAAGATAGGACTATGTACATCTACTGACACTTACCAAATTTACCTATTAGGACAAAGGAAAAACAACAAGTTCCTTTGAAAATTCAAGACTTTTGCTATCACCTCAAAAATTTCTCACTAGCCGTGTACAGAGCCCCTTTTTGTCACCTCTCAGAACCTATAATACCATTTTCCTCTTAAGTGAACATATATGGACAGGCAGGTCATTTGTGCTATTTTAGAAGATGCTCTTTTTAATAAATTTATCACTTGGAACATTTTACTCCATGATATGTAACCATGGTGTACTGTAAAAGCCAAGCATGAAGAGTGTGAATTATGTTCCATGACTTTTAAGCTATATTATGCAGGATTATTATATGGTACTTCTATAAGTGTCCAGACTCAGCTGAGCCTTTCAAAGACTTGAACTTCATTCAGAGATGGCAACAGGCCCAGGACATGAGCTGTGAAGATATTTCCTGACATATGAGCTAAAGTCACTAATTAAAAACTCAGGCAGGTGATTTCTAGGGAGGCTTACTGCTGAAAGAAAGGGCCTGCTGCATTACCCGTCAGGTTTCTTTTAAGAGGGAAAAGTATTTTTGCTTCCCATTCTTATTCTGATTTGGGGAAAGTACAGAGATGGACTTTTGAGAGAGCTTGTTATAATTTCTGTAATTGTCCTAGTTTCTGTCAAATTGCTGACTCGAGTAGACTTCAGCTGAGTCTGGTTCTCAGCACTTGTTTCATAGGCCATTTCATAAACATACAAAGAGCATCCAAAATTGTGCATTAGAGGTAATTTATGCACACATTTAGTGTGCTAAATCCCTGGCATTGTTTTATGCCTTTTGTTCCCAAGATGTATGCTCTATCTAATAAGTATGCTGCTTGTAATAGCATATTCACCAATAAAATAAAATGAAAAAGGAGATCAACTACTAAAATTTCTTATTACCAGGCTTTAAACAAAAAGTTGCTCTTACTAGTCCTGTGCCATATATTTTTGTTTCTACATCCCAGATCATATGTTAATTCGTGTATAATTCAGGTGTTTGGGTCACATATTTAATTTGTCCATATAAGTGAGAGAAAAACACGGGAAATGTTACGTTTATCATCATTACCAAAGGTACCTGTGAGCGAGCATATGGGTGCTGTCCCATTTGTTTGTAAGCCCCTCCTGGAACAACAACTATTTAACATAGCGTATTACTCCACAGTATCTAATGTAGGACCTTACACCTAGCAAATACTTGCAGCATAGTCCTTCAATTTAGGAATGAATGAGGTGCAACTGAAAGTACATTTATAATATAAAAGGCAACACTGAATAAAATAGATTAAATATGTTAATATTCAAATAACATAAAGAAGATAAGTATATATTCAAAATAAAGATTACTATTTGAGTATTTGAATAACTGCCACTCTTTTGGGTTCATTAGGCAGTAGAATCCACCAGATGGAAAATTATCAGGACCTAGAAACATGGCTGAGGCACAGCAGGCAATTTGAGGATGTTCCAGAAACAAGCAATAGGAGCAGGTTCAAGGTGGTGGGATATCAGCATAAAGGAAGTACATCAGTCAGCACCAGTCCGTACCCAGTGGATAAATGGACCACAATCTGTTGTCTGAGGTGCATCTGGTGGCAGGCCAATTGATGTAGATCTAAGTAGTATTAGGAAGATCTAGCAGTGGTGATAGTTCAGGGATAGGAATATTTGGGAGGATTTGGATCAAGGCAGGACCTTAATAATAAAAATGTTAATAGCTGTCATTTATCAAGCAGTTACCATGTACCCTACACTGTGTTGTCATACGAATCTTCACAACTTTGTGAGGAAGGCATATGATCGCCCCCATAACGGGAAAATTTAGCAACCACAAGTGAAAGAACTTATTCAAGGTCACTCAGTTTGGTTCCAGGTATGCATGCTTAATCACTACCACTTACTTCTCAATTCAGTCAGTTGTATAAATTAAAAACCTTTACAGAGACCAAAGAATAGGTCAAAAGAGTGCTAGGAACATAATTTTGCTAGCAGTATTAAAAATTATTTGGGAAAATGGTTTTAAGTTTAGTGAGTCAAAAGGTTAAAATAGTCCTGCCGATGGATTTTTCCAGAAATATACAAAATCTGTATCATTAGGAATAAAAAAACGTATAGTTAAGACATAATATGGAGTAGGGGGCAACATAATTGTACAATAGACTGGTATATAAAGTAAAAATTTCCAGTTTAGAAAATCAGTAAAGTGGCATTAGCCACAGCCTTTGGGAAAGAAACACAGAGAAGTATGAAATGCATTTGCCACATTTAATTTAGGCCACATCAAGACAATCATTTTGGGGTGCTTAAAAATAGATTGTTTATAAGGGGCAGAGTGCTGTAAGTTGGTGTTGGGTATTTGGGAACTGGTGGTTCAAAGTTCAAGGATGAAAAAGGGAGAACGAACATTCATCAAACATTTCTTGCAGCTACTAAGGCACTGTCCTAGCTGCGGGCATATATTACAAAGCAAGACAGGAGCAGACTGTGTTCATGGAAGCCTATAGGGCACTAAATTTAAGATCATTTTTAAATATGCATAAAATTTATTGGTGATGTTCCTCCCAGAAAGGAGGAAGTACGTCAGACAAGTACTGCATACAGAAAAATATTAGGTCAAAGAGAGGCTGCAGTAACGAGACAATTCTTAGTGTCACAAGAAATAAAGGACAATCAGTTCAGATGTGTTCTCTCATTTAAGAA